CCAGATGCTTCTATTGTTTGGCAAATACGGACCACTGGGAATTAGCACTTCCTCTTCTAAGTCATTAAAATCTATGTGGTTCACATGCTACAAGGAAATAGCAAGTCACTAAGTACAGTCTGCTGGCTTAAAAGATTCAGGCCACTTGGGAGGCTCCAGAAATCAGAAGGATTCCGAGTTGGAAATCCTCAAGTGATTCCGGATGTGACTTTAGTTTCCAGTAGAAATAGTTGAAGGAAGAACCTGAAAGGTATGAATTTTTTGTGTTTTTTGTTTTTTTTAAGAGCTACCACTGATTGAAAATGTCTTTTTTCTATGAAATCTACTTTTTCTGGAACCTGTGCTCTGTGGATGCACACCATAATGCTCGTTCTATTCTCTCTCTCCTGTAACCTTTTCCTCTCTGTGAGGAAAAGAGCTATTGTCAATGCAAATTTTATTTCATTGAGCATTCAACCATGTGAAAAATGTAATAATAAGCAGTTTATTCTCTTTGGTATTCTCCAATATGTTGCAAATTATCTGACCTATCACATAGTTATCATGCAATGAACCTTGTTGCATTACTGTAACAGAAACCCAACTCTACTACTTATGGAATATAGTAAATGTATTGCCTCATGTAACAGGCAGGTTTTTCTTCTCTTCAGTCCATTCAGCCTTGTCCCCCTCCCTATGTCAGCCGCAATGACTGTGGTCTGGGGAATGCCATGTCACGATTGGCTTAGATCTGACTGGCAAGATTTTAAACTGGGAAAGAGCCACTGTACCTAGGTAATAGCAATGAAGCTGGGCGTATGGATGACTTCCTCTGAAGTAGATGGGTTGCGTTGCCTAATAAAATGCTGGGCACCTGAACAGAAACATGTCATTCTATTAGGATGGGGAAACATACAGGCAGCCAACAAATGTCCATTACATGAAGAATAATTAAAATAAAGGAACTGAAACAGAGAATAAAAAAGGAAGTAAAGGAGTTGCAGGGAGACTTCTTTGGAAGAAAGAGAAGTGTATGTAGTGGAAACAGAGCTCCTAGAAGAAAAAATGGAAGACAAAAGAAACTGAAGGAAGAAAAGCAAAGAAAGATTTAATTGGGAAAAACAGAGTCTGAGTTTAAGGGAGAACAAGGAATTATCCTAGGACATTTATTTCTTAACTGTTTTTAGTGAAGGATTTCCAATGGTTGATGCATTTTGTTTGTCTTCTGTCAGTGAAACACTTGAAAAATAAAATTTTGCCAATGATTGTTGTGGCTATGGCTTGTTTTCAATTTTAGGGTAACTATTACTGATTGAATAAGAATGGTTTCCTTTGCAGATCATTAGAGGTGTACATTATACTGGCTGCATCCCTTTTCTGTCAGCTGATTATTTGCCATAGCCACTGTAGGTTGACCATTGGTCATTTCCAGTTAAAGTTCTGGAAGGTTTACCAGAATGAGGAAGTGCAGCAACTGGACAGATTTATTTTTAAGGAATAGGCAACCAAGCCATGTAAAGAAAACTTGGCTCATTTTTTTAAAAGGGAGTCTTTTGTTGTCCCAAGTTTCTAGGACTGGGAGGGTGCCCTAGTCAGGGACTCCTTCAGTGTTACTGAGAAGAAATGAATTAGCCTCCATAGCTGGTGGATGAAGCTGTGAACTCTCACAACCACTCAGAGTCTACAGTCCCAACTCCAGAGACTCTTAACAATGAATAACATTATATCTTTCAGCATTTGCTGTGTTACTCAACATTTAGCAGGTCTTGGTTAAAGGGACCTCTTTGGTTACAAAAGTTTTAATGTTATATTTGCACTTCAAGTGTCTGGTTTTCCCAATTTCTGCTTTGGTCCTTCATAAACAAGGAGAAGAGGGAATTTTCCACTTATTCATAATAGTCCATTCCAACTGCTAAAGAGATCCAGGCTTCCAATAACTAATGGATGAAACTGAGAGATTTGAGAAGACAATAATTAAATGTGCAGGCTGCTGAGGGAAGTATGTCTGATTCCTGGCATCTTTAAACAGTGAACAGGCAACCAAGGCCGGTCTCCTCAGAAAACAGCTCGAGGAACCATCTGGTGATGTCATTTGAATAGCACGAAACTATCCCTCTGTCCCAAACCTTTCTTCCCTTTGGCTGTGCCAAGATGACAGAAATCTCGGCATTGATTAAGGTTTGGGGTTCAGAGTGAAGGCTTTTATGAAATAAAAATAGTATATAACTCTGTAGTTACACTGTGCAATTTCCACAAGTTCTTTGTGTAAAGACTCAACTTTACACAAAGGCAATGAAAATACACTTGGAGCCCAGGGGGTGGTGTGCAACCTTTCTTTACTATGAAGAATTTTTGTTTTTATGAATCCTCATTCAGTTTGTGAAGAGATAGAATTTCATGCATCTCTGATGTTCTCTTTCTCTTTACCTTTTATCTTTTCTATTCATCTCCTCTTTCCCTCTCCATGAACCTGGATCCTCCCCACTTATTCTTTGTGTCCAAGGTCAAGGAGATCCAATAGATCTTTGACTGGGAATTCTAGACCTGTGTACATATTACAGTAGTTGCAGCCACATATGGCTATTGCACACTTACAATGTGACTAGTGTGACTGAGGAAATGAATTTTTATTTTAGTTTAATTTTAATTAATTTAGATTAAAAAACTGAAGCTACTAAACAGCACTAAACACAGTTTGATTGTTTTGGTAGGACTGCATTTTACTGTAAACTTTGAAAACTTAGCATTGAATTGAGATGTGCTAAAAGTGTAAAATACACACTAGAGTTCAAAGATTTAGTATAAAAAAGAATGTAAAATGTCTATAATCATTTTTATATTAGCTAAAAGTTGAAATAATATTTTGGATAATTAGTCTAAATAAAATATGTTGTTAAAATTTATGTTACCTGTTTCTTTTTACTTTTTTAATGTGGTTATTAGAAAATTTATATATGTGTCTCTCATAATTCTAATGAACAGCACTTTCTAGATTCTTGCATTCTTCAAGATGGAACAATTCAAGATTGAATACAAACGAGCCATTCTCTTGGTTATATAGATCATCTTTCATAGCATAAATTCAATGCCAAGAGACTTGCCTCCCTCTCCAGGGTGAGGAAAACAAAAAAGTATGGAGAACAAACCCCATCTTGAAGCAATCACCAGTTCCAACACTCAGCACCACGGAGAGTATCAGATTAGCTGCCTTCGGGGGGTGGGTAATAAAAGGACCGGGAGAAGCAAATTTTGATGGCTGGGTTGGGAAAGAAAGGAGATGAAGGTGTAGACAAGTAGGAGAATATTCCAAGTCATGGAACATTTTCAAGACAGCTTGTTGAGTGCTGACTTCAGAGGGAGACCCTTAGACATGAATATCTTGGGTTTCTGGAGGGGTGAGTGTACTATAGAGGAGAAAGAGGAAACTGAGCAGAAGATGGAAACATCCCAAAATAAGTTTTGGGGTGGATTGTCGACAAACATCCTTGAAGGCATCTGTTTAAAATCCATGGCTTACGATATCACTTCTGATATCAGATAACATTCTTCTTCAAGATTCTACTCCTGGTCTTCTGTGGCATTGGTTTGAAAGTCCTTCCACTGATGCTGCAGCTGCCCCAGTGACCTTATTTTGTCCTTAGTACCTACCTCAATGTCCTTTTGAAGAGATAGCTGAATAGGTGGGAAACAATTTCCCCATAGCCTTCTAAAGTCCAAAAATGTAGAATTTCAGTGGTGGTTGTTTATGTCATTTAAACTCACTGATATAATTTTAGATTTTTTTTTTTTTTTTTTGGCGGTACGCGGGCCTCTCACTGTTGCAGCCTCTCCCGTTGCAGAGCACAGGTTCCGGACGCCCAGGCTCAGTGGCCATGGCTTACGGGCCCAGCCGCTCCGCAGCATGTGGGATCTTCCCGGACCGGGGCATGAACTCGTGTCCCCTGCATCGGCAGGTGGACTCTCAACCACTGCGCCACCAGGGAAGCCCAATTTTAGATATTTACTACATCCAATCCTCTCATTTTACAGATAAGTGAGAGAGAGACAGAGACAGAGACTGACAGAGAGACAGAGATGGAGAGAGGCTGAGAGATGATGTGCCTTGCCCAGGATTAGCCACTAGTCAGGATCAGCTGAAGCCACTAGAAACAGAACTGGGACTGTATCTTCAGGATCCTGAGACCTAGTTGAGGTCTACCACTACCTTATTACTTACACCAGTTTTAACTGATGGTGCCACCCTAATTGGTACTTTTACTTATAATTTGAGTTCTCTGCAGAGCCTAGTAGATTCTGGACTGCTATATGCTTATGGTCTGGTAAAGATTATGATTTATTTAATCCAGTAGATTTTGAATTTTAAAAATGTTCTGGTCACAAACAAAATATACTTTGTACGATTTTTAGGGGATAAAAATGATACTGAAGTTTCTAACTGAATAAGCTTTGGGATAAGAAATTATTCTCAAAGAACATTCTTTACCTTTCATTTTATTTCCTGGCCTGACCATCAATAATATTTCCTGAGAAAAGGAAGGAATTTGGTTATTACCAGCTACCTAAAAATTAAGTGAAGTAAAATTAAATGCTATTTTAAAATATTTCAGAATTAGCATTCAAATAAATAGCTTGCCTTGATGATTACAAGTCAAGAGTAGCTTCAGGAGGCCGAAACTATAAGCCAAGCCTATATACAAGAAAATTCATATCTACAGCTTCTCAAAAATATGGAAAATTGTTACAAATGGTACTGTTCCTATAGAGAATGCAATATACAGTATCTAGAAACTGTCTTTATATAGTGACATTGATATTGTATAATTTCATCCATTTTTCCAGTAAGAAGGGATAAATACACCAACTGTGTAGGTCGTATACATTTTTTTCATTACCATAAGAAAATGAAAAAAAACAGACTCTCTTAGGATGGATTATGTAACATGTAGAATTCATGTTTACTATTTTACAAGGAGTTATTTGTGTATGAAATCTTGCGGACTAGAGATTGAAAATGTGTGATTTACAAGCAAAGAAAAAAACAGCTTTAAATCTTAGTGCCCTGCATTTCAAATTTCTGGCTGATTTATAAGTCTTTTAAATCCCCTGCTATTAAACAATTCAAAACTTCTATGGCTCTATATGTGTAGCTAATATTAACTGCTCAACCAGCCAGCCTGTGGCATTTTGCATGCTATTCTTCATTTTTTCCATCTGTATTTTTCCTTACCCAGCTTTTTCAGAAATGTTATTCCTATTTCTGTCACACTGTCGCCTTTTAGTCTGTTTTGCAAGAATGTAACATCAGCAGCTAAATGAACCTAGGAAAGACAAAAAGAAAAAACAAAACAAAACAGGCCTGAGTCATTCAGGTTTTAAAAAAAAAAACCCTAATTTTTTCTGTCTTTATTTTCAGTTTGATTTACCCTGTAAAGAGCTGACTTTCTTTACAAAATGATAAAAAAAGAGCTTTTTCTGTGGATAAAGGGCCCTTTACTGTGCGTCCTCCATTGATGATCTGGCTGTGGTCAGCTCTGTGTGTGAGTCTGCAAAGAGAGGGGTGGTCCAGGACAGGCTCAACCTGCTTGATTCTGGGGCAAGCCCAGGATGTGGGCCCCTTTTTGTTCACAGTGTGGGTCTAAACTAAGGCTCCATCTCAGGAAGAACACAAATTCCCAACTCAAAGATAGCCTTGACTCAATGTGCCTTGCCAAGCAGAACTTCCAAGGATAAATGGCTTCTTAAAATGATTTTTCTCCAATTGACTTGCTATAAATCACTCTGTCATTAGCTCAATAACATAATCACTTGTCCTAACAACACTTAGCAATTACTTATGGCTTTGAGAGCTGTGAAAAAACACCAACTAAATAAATTATAAGTATAAAATTAAAAATTGAAATTATAGACATGAATATTTGATACCCAGGCCTTCTTTTCCACAATAAAGCATTTCTCATTTCCCAGACACTGAAGTAAACCCTAGGGCTTGCTTCTCTATTCATTAAAATATACTCACATTGGGCTTCTCTGGTGGCGCTGTGGTTGAGAGTCCGCCTGCCGGTACACGGGACACGGGTTCATGCCCTGGTCTGGGAGGATCCCACGTGCTGCGGAGCGGCTGGGCCCGTGAGCCGTGGCCACTAAGCCTGCGCGTCCAGAGCCTGTGCCCCGCAACGGGAGAGGTCACAACAATGAGAGGCCGGTGTACTGCAAAAAAAAAAAAAAAAAAAAAAAAAAAAAAATATATATATATATATATATATATATATATATATACTCACATAAGAGCAGCATATTGCTGACCTACCCTCAATAGAGTACCTGTTCAGCTATTTTAAGTCATTGGGATAGATAAGATATAAGCAAAAGTACCTAGTAAAAAATACCTAGTAGTTAAATTATGACAAAGATAAAAACGATCTTATGGGGAAAAAATGAGAGTGAATTTAGCTTCCATATTTCAAAGTGCACTGTACATATGAACTACCATATGACCCAGCAATCCCACTATTGGGCATATACACTGAGAAAACCATAATTCAAAAAGAGTCATGTACCACAATGTTCATTGCAGCTCTATTTACAATAGCCAGGACATGGAAGCAACCTAAGTGTCCATCGAAAGACGAATGGATAAAGAAGATGTGACACATATATAAAATGGAATATTACTCAGCCATAAAAAGAAATGAAATTTGAGTTATTTGTAGTGAGGTGATGGACCTAGAGTCTGTCATACAGAGTGAAGTAAGTCAGAAAGAGAAAAACAAATACAGTATGCTAACATATATATATGGAATCTAAAAAAAAAAAAAAAGTTCCAAAGAACCTAGGGGCTGGACAAGAATAGAGACGCAGACGTAGAGAATGGACTTGAGGACGTGGGGAGGGGGAAGGGTAAGCTGGGACAAAGTGAGAGAGTGGCATGGACATATATACACTACCAAATGTAAAATAGATAGCTAGTGGGAAGCCTCCGCATAGCACAGGGAGATCAGCTCCGTGCTTTGGGACCACCTAGAGGGGTGAGATAGGGAGGGTATGAGGGAGATGCAAGAGGGAGGGGATATGGGGATATATGTGTATGTATAGCTGATTATACAGCAGCAACTAACAACAATGTAAAGCAATTATACTCCAATAAAATTGTTTTTAAAAATACCTAGTAAAAGCAAATAATAAGTGAAAAAGCCTGGGTCTAGTAGGCAGTTAATTAATATTTATTGAGTCTTATCTGACTCACTCCCCTCTCTCACTAAGAATTCCCTGGTCAACCAGCCTGCATTTGTTAAACCATAGACTTTGGTGTACCAACTTATCTGCTCCTGCAGTGTGCAAAAACCATGCTTTTGTGATGCTCACCATCCAATAGAAGGATGTACAGTGCACTTTGAAATATGGAAGCTAAATTCACTCTCATTTTTTCCCCATAAGATCTTTTTTGTCTTTGTCATACTTTAACTGAAAATCAGTTAAAATAACAAAAAGACTACATTGAAATTATTTGGATATTTGGGACCATATGAAGTCTGATACATATTTGTCATTCAGCACATATAATCAACTGTTACCCATGAAAGCTGGAGACTTCTTTATCCTATTTCAGACCTGATTTTTTTCCCCAGTCTACATGTGAATCACACTGAACTAATTCAACTTCCTTGTCCCTTGAACAAAATATTATTTTTGTGCCTTGGGGCAAGGTCCTCCTTTTACCTGGAATATTATTTTCCTCTTACCCCAAGACCTTCACCTAACTGCTTTTTATCTTTCAGATGTCAGCTCAGAGTTTCCGTAGGAAAGCTTCCCTGCCCCCCCCCCCCCCCCCCCCCCCCCCCCCCCTCCCAGGTCCTCCCGTGGCCCTAAGTCATTTGACTTCTCTACTGGACAGAAGATTCTTGAAGGGCAATAACTGTGTTTTGTTCATCTGTGTATGCTCCGTGCCTCTTAACAGATGCTGATCACTGTCCTGGTTAAATCAATGAACAATTCAGGTGTGGAAGCCAGCCTCCAAGATGGCCCACAATGACCCCGCCTCCTATCATTCAGGTAGTCCCCTCCAACGTTGTCCCAGAGCTGACAGCACCTGCTGTGATTAGATCTACAAAGAGACGTATGTGACAAAGAACTTCCTGAAGCCTCTAACCGACTGCGAGAAAGGCACTGAAGCCACGTGAGTGAGCTTGGAAGTAGATTCCCAGCCTTAGTCAAGCCTTCAGAGACTGCAGCCCTGACCAACCGCTTGATTGCATGTGCATTAAGCTGTGAAAGGCTTTGAATCACAGCCACCTAGCAAAGCTGCTACCAGATTCCTGATCCTCAGAAACTGTGTGAGATAATAAATATTTGTTGTTTTAAGAGGCTGCATTTGGGAGTAGTTACACTGCACTAGATAATGAATATACCTGGCAAAGTAGAGTCTGTGACTTACCATTTCCAGGGCACCTCTGATAATCCCACAGAGTAAACTGCAGTAGCACAGAGAAGATCGCCCAGCAGGGAGCTCTTCCACAAACTCCACCAGAGGATTCTTGTCTGGAATCAGGGAAAATTCATTTCTGCTTGAATTGTTACAGGTCACACTTGGTGTAATTCCCAAGTACATCTTGAAAGCAACCTAGTAAACAGGAAAAAATTTACAAAACTTGGTCTAGAACAAAGAACTGTTAGTAAGGCACCCAAATACCCTTTTCCAGGCACAATGGTTAAGCTCGTGGCGTGTGTAGTCAGAAAGCCTGGGTTCACACTCAGCTTTGAAATTTACTGACCCTCTGACTTGGACAACCCTTCAACCCTTTTATTTTCATGGAGTATCCTAAAGGACAAGTTTTCTATGGAAATAATATGGTTTATGAAACTTAGAGTTAAGGCATCCTTTTTGAAAAAATCTTTTTCAAAAGTGAATATCCTTTAGGAGGGTAAGAAATTAAAATATTACCAATCATCAGTGTACTAGCATAATGTTTGTCACATGTGCCTAGTAAAGGATAAGATTCTGAATTAGAAGGGACCCAAGACACACCTGCCACAACAGGAAGGCGACAGAGCAGAGGGCAGAGGGTGCCATGGCAAGATTAAACCCAAGGGTGTGTTTTGGGAAGTGGAGGGAGCCGTAACACCAAGGATGACAAGCCTCTGAGAAGGAACAAGGGTTAGTGGTGGGAGGCACATAAGTGAGTCATAACGCAGCTTCTCAAAAAAGTCTGCTGTTTTAAAGAGCTGAAAGAATTCTACAATGTTGAGATAGAGGAAGTCTTGGAGACTGTTTCTTGCATACCTCCAGTTTCTCAAATGAGTAAACTGGGGCTCAGAGAAGTAAAATGACATGGCTAAGTTTACATTGTAACTTAGTTCCCTGGCTTCTAGTCCAAGGGACTTCCTTATCACAAAATATACAGGCCTGGAATCTGAAGTTCATTAATGGAAATTTGTCAGCTTGACTGTTGTCTTTCAAGTGCCTTAATTAATTTAATTTTAAAATTAAAAGCAGTGTAGGACAGATATGGGGACAATTTCCTTAAATTATTTATAATTAGAAGTACTAAAAGTTTCACCATTCATTCATTCATTCAATAGTACTCATTGAGCACTGCCTGTCTAGCACAGTGCCTGGCACACTGTGGAGTGGAGTGTGGAGTTCGGTAACTATTTGAAAAACGAATTATTGAGTAAGCATCCATTCTGTGTTTGACATCGTATTTATGCCCAGAATACAAAATGTAATAAGATGTAGTTCCTGTTTTATAAGAGCTCACAGTTAAAGAGGAGCTATAGATATTAAAAAAATAACTGCAATACTATAAGCTCTGCAAGTACAATGTTATATATTTGGTAGCAACCCTTGAAATATTCACAGAATAAGAAGCTTCTACCCTGTTTATGAATATTGAGTGAAAGTTTGCCAGGTGGACAAGGTCAGGTGTGTGTGTGTTGTGGCGGGGGGAATATTCCAGATAGAAGGAACATGTCAAGGGCATGAAATACCATGATGAGGTTCAGAGGAAGTTGGCATCTATCAATTTGTGGGCAACAGGGAGCCCCAAAGGTGTGAGTAGGCTAGGGAGGAACTGGTTTTCTGTTTTAGAGGGATCTCCTTTATGTCAGCATAGAGGATGGATTTAGGGTTGAGAATGGGGGTGGTCATGAGGTCAAAGGCAGAGATACCAATCAAGAGGTTACTATGAAAGTCTAGGAAAGAAATGATTAGGACCCTTCTCACTTTGTCTTTCATTCAAAACTCAAACTCTCCCTGAACTTTTCCATATAAATTTCAAATAGCCCAACTCCTAAAATTTGGCTTAAGTCACTAGTCAGTTAAAGAGGATGTAAAATGAATCTTCCAGATCTTAAGTCAAAGTGCAAAAGTCTTAAGCAGCAAGAGAAAAATACCATCATGAAACGCTAGGCTAGGAGGCTTGATTCAATGGCTCTCAATCAATTGGCTGAAACCCTATTTCCGCTAATGTTGATCCTCTGGTTGGAAAATTCCTAGACTATTACTATCTGCAGAGTCGCAATTTCTTTCTGATTCTCAATCCGAGCCACGTGGAAATAACACAAAAATGGAGGCTGTTCACTTTGAATTTACTCTCATTCTCAGTGTTTTGGCTCTAGTTTCATGGCCTAATATCCACCAGTAGGAGGCATTATCTGAACACTGTTGGGAAATATTCATTCCTAGGGAATGACATTGTTTCCTTATCTGGCTGGATTCGGTCTGAGAAGGACTGTTGCTTCTAACGAAGAAAGAGCTCCACCCTCGGCCACTGCCACAGCTGCTCTGCCAATAAATAAGAGCAAAGCGTTTTCCCTTTGTGTATCTCCAACATGGATGCCTTTCAGGGGATTTTAAGATTCATCCTCCACCGGAAAACTGTTATTGGCTACAGCTTTTTGGCTCTGCTGACTGTGGGAGGTGAGCGTCTCTTTTCACTCGTGGCTTTTAAGTGTCCCTGCAGCACTGAGAATGTGGTGTACGGATTGGTTTTCCTTTTTGCTCCTGCCTGGGTGTTACTGATCCTGGGATTCTTTCTGAACAACAGGTCATGGAGACTCTTCACAGGCTGCTGTGTGAATCCCAGGAAAATCTTCCCCAGGGGCCACAGCTGCCGCTTCTTCTATGTCCTCGGTCAGATCACTCTGAGTTCATTGGTGGCTCCAGTAATGTGGCTTTCTGTGGCTTTGCTCAATGGGACGTTTTATGAATGTGCCATGAGTGGGACCAAAAGTTCAAGACTCCTGGGGCTGATTTGCAAGGGCAAGCCCAAAGAGTGCTGGGACGAACTTCACAAAGTACCTTGCAGCAAAATCAGCATGACCCATACAGACAACGAAGAACTGAAACTGTCCCTGCAAGCCCAGTCTCAGGTAAGAAAGGACAAACGTGACTTTTTTCTCTTTTTCCCCAGAGTGAGCTTGAAGTATTCTCTCAGTACTCTGTTGAGCCAGGGCTGAGTCTGAATCCTCCTAAAACATTTTGAAACTAAATGGAAATTGGAACATGGGGCAGCATTAAGACAATCTGAGGAAAAGCTTTTCAGTGGTTGCTTGGCTAGTAAAATTGCTGATTGGATTGTCTTTTCCATTTCTGAAAAGAAATCTCCTCTGAGTTATACATATGTAAATACTTACGTATTTTAAGACAATCTCTCTGGGTTGATTTTGTAAATAATGCATGACACTAACTCATAATAGAGTGCTAATGGCAGAGTAATTAGAAGTTACTGCCTCCTATTAATTATTTTCAAACTGGTTTCTCAGAAAAACACACATATCTATTAAAATATAGCTGAACGAAATGAGATAATACTTTCCAAAGCCGCACATAATATAATTAGTGTAGAGATTCCCTTGCATGATTTCTGGCAACTGCTACCTCTATGTATAAATATTGTCAAGATGGAGGAGAACTTCCTGTATAAAGTGGGGGTTGGCAGTCTCTAAATAGCCTTCAGTGAAACGGGACCATATTCTCCAGGGAGGTTTCGTCCTGTGCTCTGTGCTCTACAGCTAAAAAAGTTCTTACATTATTTTAGAAGCTCAAGATTTGGGGCACTGTTTTATTTAACAGCAGGAAATTGTAGCTTTACCTAATTGACACAAGGAAGTAGCTTGTCATCCTTCCAGGTACGTGAGCATAAATCCAGATGTGAGCCTGGCCCTGGCCTCAGGAAAAGACTGAATTCCTACTTGTGAGGAGCAGGAATGACATTCCCCAAATCAAAATAAGCAATAAGAGTAGATAAATAGATCCACAGTTTGTCAGGAATGCTATTTGTTTAAGAATAAATGTGCTGAAAATAGTGTAATTTTACTTTTTTTCAGCATAGACTCACCTTTTCAACAACACATCAAGGAAAAATCTTTTTCTAAAATCATACTTTCCAAAACTGGTTGGCGATATAGTCATACTCTCTTCATAAACTGCTAAGCCTAAAAATGCTCCCCAAACAAAATCTTTTGTTTCATGCATAAAGCGCATCTTAGATAAAAACATGCCAGGATCCCTTCTTTGGTTGAAGGAGGGTATTAATTACCAGTGTTACGATACAATGAGTGATGTATGATTTGTATCCTCGGGCACCAGGCTCCATTCAGGTAGATCCAAACACTTGTCACTGTGTGAACTTTTCCTCTCTAAACAGAGGCATAAGGAAATCATGCACGTCTTCCCATAGCTTAGCCTGGGCACGCTGACCTGTTTACTTTTCAGAGGAATGAGAAGGGCCTGGGGCTGATTCCTAGAAGAGGCATAAGAGATGTGGACAAAGGGAGCTGTGTCACAGCAGGTGCTGACTACAGTGCTTCCCACAGGCAGGAGCGACAGAGTCCAGACCAACAGCTGGGTGTGCGGCTGGGGGTAAAAGGTGCCGCGTCCATGGGTGGAGCAGAGAAATGAATCCAGCTGGGTGGCTTGCTATTCCTCAGGATGGTAGGGTAGAGCAGTGGCAAGAACTCCGTCTTGGAGTTCGCTCTCCTTGGGTTTGAATACTGATTCTACCACTTACCAGCTATGTGGCCCAGAGCTACTGGTTTGACCCCTCAGGGTCCCAGTTTCCTCATAGTTTCCTCCTACCTTGGAGGGGTGCTGGAAGGTATAGTAGATGATGGACGTAAATGGATATAAAGCTGCTGGCACGGAGTAAGTGTTCTAAACTGACGAGAAAAACGCCAGGGTTTCAGGGAGAAGACACGTGCAGAACGGGACACTCTTGAGGGCTGGGGTGGGAGCATCCACCATGTCTAGGTAGACCCTGGGTACCATGAATTAGGGAAGAACAGAGGGCTCAGTGCTCAGAGCTCAGCGCTCAGGTGAGAGCGAGTCGAAGGTAAGGTCATGCAATGGGGGGAAGGGGAGTCTGAAGCTGATCAAACAGTTGATGACACAGCAGCGTTGGTTCAGATACTGAGGTGAGATGGCCTACAGGAGAACCTGTGTGGAAAAAGAAAGGTAGAGGTTAAAGAAAAGAGGAAGATCCGAGGGAGCTAAGCACAAGTGACTAAAGTAAATGTGAGGACTTTTCACACAATGGAAGCTGTGCTTCATTTGTTAAATCACATCAGAAAGATATCCTGTGTTCAGTAATGCTTTTACATAGACATGGATACATTTGAAAAGTAGCAGCACATGACAATGGCTGATACTTACTGAGTCACGTGTATGTCTACATCATCTCATTTTAATGCCCCAAATTACCCTCTGAGGTAGGTAAGCCCCACTTTACAACTGAGAAACCTGAGGCATGGAGAATAGCCACAGAAAGGAGAAAGTTGAGATTTAAACCCAACTAGTGGCAACCCAGAATTAACATTCATGTGGGGTCTGAGACCCTGTACAATGACCTCCATAGTCTGGAGTTGGAGTTTGGGAAACACTTGTTTAAAGCATTGGAGCATATTTGTGGTTCTGTTACGGTCTGAATGGGTTTATTTGCAGATTGTTTCTGTGTTCAGATAGGCCCATCTGCTGAGAAATACTAAGGGCCATTTAACTAAAATGTCAAGAGAAACTTTGAAAGAGCTTTGTTAGCTGTCCACATATGAACTTAATTCCAATTGTGAAAAATATAATTAGAACAACAAAAAGTTTAGAAGATAAGTTGAGCTGCTTAGACTTCTGCTTTTAAAGTTCAGAAAAACCCCCCAGCGGAACCATTTCGTATTCAGAGAGGAATCTGTGTTTTCCAATTACCCAAATTCAGAACCAGCAAATCCTGAAGGTTTGCAATGACTCTATTTTTTTTTTCTTGGCTTTTATGCAGGCTTCCAATTCTTATAGCTTCAGTTTCCTTATTGTGTTACGTTTGTCTCACTTTATCCTGCTTTCTGGGTCTTTCTTTGCATACCAGCAATGGTGGGTAGGATGGAGAATAGAGGTTAGGTAAACCCTAACTTTATTTGACTGTAAAAAAAACCTGTCGTTAGTAATTAAGATGAAGGATTTCAACCGAGGTCTGGTATTAAATTAGCCATACACTTCCCAATAACACTACCCCGGCTCCCGGAGAAGTGGCTTTACTTTGGAGGTCCTCAATATTTCTTTCTAAGATTCTAGGCTGGTTCCTGATTTGTTCAGCAGCTTTCTTCTCTCTGCTCACCGCTCGTTATGCTCGCTGCCGATCAAAAGTTAGCTACCCTCAGCTGAGTTTTTGGAAGACGTATGCACAAACGGAGAAGGAGTACTTGGAAAATACGCTCCTGGACTATGCCAAAAAGCTGAGTGAGAGGAACCTGAAATGCTTCTTTGAAAACAAGAGGCCAGAGGTCTTCTCCATGCCTACCTTTGCGGCCTGGGAGTCTGCTTCAGAGCTGCATTCTTTCCACCCAAACCAGCAACATTACAGCGTCGTCCACAGGGTGGTGGGAGGTGGTCTGGAACTTCGCCCTGAGGGTGATGAGACTACAGTGCTGCTTGTGGATGCTTCTCAAAATGTGCAGCTCACCGACCATCACTGACTCGTGGTGTCTAGACATCTTCCTACTGCGTCAACAGCTACCCGAGCATCTCTGCGTTTTCTCACATTTAGTGTTTCTTTACAAGACAATAACGCAAAGGCAAGCAGCTTTGCAGCTCCCAGCTGCAGACAGTGTCACGTGCTCAAACTGATGCTGAGTGACTGGCCAAGGATGGTGACAGAGGTGCTGTCGCGTTTGTCGGGGGTTGGGCTCAGGGGCTTCAAGTTCTAAGATTTTATGATTGACAGTGAGATTCATGCAAGAAGGTCTGCCACTCTGTGTAAATATGGTCATGGCATCCGGGGGTAGCGGTGGTGACTTGTGAGTGAGTGTGGTACTCTTAACAGACTTCTGTACAGTGGGATCTGCAGTGTAGTTGGTAGAAATCCTCGCTCAGTAAACCTATCCTACTGCCTTTCAAGGATGTGTGAAATTCTATCATTTGAAATTCATTTCCTTGGAATCTGAAGACACCGGTTCTCCGAATAACACATTAAAAGAATATGATGCCTAAAATTCAGAGCTTTTCACATGTTTCCACTATGCACTGAAAGTAGACCCCTAAGGTCAGGGCTGTATTATGACTTTTGTGGGCTCTAGGTACTTTTGCCTTCATGAAACCATTTCTACATTAAAAAATACACATACACACAAGCACAAATATACATATATATATTTATGACTATTGATATAGACATATATTAATATTACATGTTAAAACTTTTTTTCAACCTTGAAGTTCATTTATTTCCTGTGACTTTATAAGAAGCTAAAAACACTTTTGTGGGCACTTACAGAATGCAAATTTTGCATTCTATTATGTAATATATCCACATTAGTTTAACTATACAGATATATTAATTCCCTCTAAATCTCTGAGTGGGATTGATATTTAAGGGAGAGGCACCATGTTCTATGCTGTGGCTCACATCTTATACCACAGAGAGTCCTTGCCTCCCAGTTGGAGAATCCTGGGGATGAACTCCTTATTACCATGGAACATTATCCCAAATTGGGGAAAGGATCCTATAGGTATAAGACCTGAAACAACATATCCTTGGGAACTTGGAGGTGCAGAGTCAGGTTGTGTGTGTGTGTGTGTGTGTGTGTGTGTGTGTGTGTGTAGGTGGGAGAGTGGGAGGTGGGGGCTGTGATGTTGCAATATTTGAAATACTGTTTGGGTTTTAAACATGGTATGTGATAAATGTTTAACAACTGGCTCTCAAAGAAAAAAAAACCAACCCTGATTTGAAGTGTTTGCCAATTTCTATGATGTAATTTCAAGTTACCACGGTGATGTCACTGAAAGCAGAGTTAGGAAGAGATGCTAACTATGGCCTCTATGAGCCGGAACTTTCTAAGAAGTTTTTTATAGCTAGTTTTTTTTTTTTTTTTGCATTTACTTTGATTCTAGCCAGACCATCTCCCGTGCAACTTTGGTGCATCTGAGTTTCACTGTAATAAAACCTAACCATGGGAAATTAAACTTGGCTCAGTGGCTCCAATTGAGAGATGGAGTCTCTTTCTCTTCTTGATTCTGACCTTAATGAACCAATAGAATGTAGCAGAAGTGAATCCAGATTGCAGAGTTGTTGCAGCTTATGCCTTGGTCTCTGGCAATGCTCAGCTTGGTAAAAGCCAGCCACCATGTAAGAAGTCCAATTACCCTGAGAGCACCAAGCTCTGAAGAAAGCCAAGCTAGCCAAATGGAGAGAGAGAGAGAGAGAGGGAGAGAGAGAGAGAGATTAAAAAGAGTTAGTTGGCTAACTCCAATTCTTTGAGTCATTCTATTGATAGGCTGGTAAAGTACCAGGCATCTGAGTGAAGAAGTCATTTTGGACTTTCCAGCCTCAGCAGACAAGACATGGAGAAGAACCAGGGGACCCAACTGACAGCCAGAAAAAAGGTCCCAGGTCTGTGGTCTGAGTGAAGTCATTCCAGCCATCAGACTTTCAAGCCACACCATCTGAGGCTGCAGACATTACAAAGGGGTCCCCACTATGTCCTGTCCAAATCCCTGATCCAGAAAATCATGAGCTTAAAAAAATATTTGTTGTTTTAAGCCATCAGATTTGGGGGCACTATGAAGTAAGTGCCCTAATATTTTCACTAATATGTGAAAATCAGAATTTATTAAAAGAGAGAAATTAGAGGCAAATTGAATTTATACATAGATTTATACAAAAATTCTCCCTATGCATAGGTGTTTCCTTAATAATTTTTTCCTCTTGATTTCAGGAAGCAGTATATCCTCTATGGAATGATTTGATAGATGCTGAATAGGCACCTCTCCAAACTAGCTCCACCAAAGCCTGAAATTCATTTTTAATGATTTTGGTTTGAAAGGAACACACTGATGTGAGTTAATTCAGTTTAAAATAAATAACTGAGAGGAGAAACATACTATTATCATTAATACCTAGAAGAAAATGGCAGTAGAAGGCACAGGATAGGTTGGCCTTGAGTAAAAGCTAGAAACAGATTGGTCTTCTAGGCTTGCTCCTCAAAGTGTTGCCTTCAAACCACAGCATCAGTAAACGAGGGAGCTGTTAGAAATGCAGAACCAGACCCCATCCTAGACCTGTTGAATCAAGCCTGCTGTTAAACGAGATCTTAGGTGATTCCTATGCAACTTAATTTTTAGAAGTGCTGGAGTGGCGGTTCTCAAACTTTAACGCATGCCAAAATCATCTGGAGGGCTTGTTAACATGTAGATTGCTGAGCCCAAGTGTCTGATTTGGTAGGTTTGGGGGGAGAATTTGCATTTCTAACAAGTTATCAGGCGCTGCTGCTGCTGGTCTAGGGATCACATCTTGAGAACAACTGCTCTAAAGCAGGGGTCCCCAACTGCCGGTCCGTGGCTTGTTAGGAACCAGGCCGCATAGCAGGAGGTGAGCAGCGGGCAAGCGAGCGAAGCTTCACCTGCTGCTCCCCATCGCTCCCCATCACTCACATCACCGCCTGAAACATCCCCCCCAAACCCCGGTCTGTGGAAAAATTGTCTTCCACAAAACCGGTCCCTGGTGCCGAAAAGGTTGGGGACCACTGCTCTAAAGCACAAAGCAGGCCACACCAAGGAAGGATGCCTAGAAGAACTTCAGAATCTTGGGCCCCACTCCAAACCTACTGAATTAGACTTTATGCTGTTATCAACCTGAGAACATGGGGTAACTTTCCATGTATTTTCTATTTATTCAAGGTGACCTTTTATCCCTTAACGATATTTTAAAGTTTTCCTTACATAAGTTTTGCAAGCACTGTGCATTTGTAGGTAACTTCTTTGCTGCTAGTCTAATGGTTTCTTTTTCCTGTGATATTTTCTAAGTGATGGTTATTTGAGTACATGAAAAAGCTATTACTTTATGCATATTAGTTTTATACCACTATACCTTACTGATTTTTAAATTATCTTATTTTTCGTAGAGCTTTTCAGAATTAGAAAATAAATATTTTGCAACCCCTAATGACATAATGGATCTGGACAACAAATAGTGAATTCTGAACTACCAGGTGAAGGCGGGATGGGTGAGGAACATGCAACTTGAAGCCACTCCTCTGTCTTAGCATCCCTAAAAATGGGACAACCACACATTATGTGACTCCTTATGTTATGCAGTGCAAGAGTAAGTACACAGTCCAACTTGTGAAATATTGTTTCCTAAAATAACTAAATCTGACTCTAATCAAGATCTTACTCTTAGTTTATAGGAAATGTAGGCAAGAGAAAACAAGTTAATTAACACCATGAGGAAGCAACCAAGTAAATATAGAATATAGGACATGCTATCGGATGTGTGACCCAGCTTTCCGTAGACGAATGGCATTAAAAAAAGGAGAATAAAAGACTTAAGAGATGTAATGACCAGAAACAACATGTGGGCCTCATTTGTATCCTGTTTCAAACAACCACTGACACAGGGTATCTTTGAGATATTTAGGGAAATATGAATGGGTATTAAATGGGTATTAGATAATTTCAAGAAATTGTTCATTTTGATGTGTATGATAATAGCACATTGGTTTATGCTTTACCAGTTTGAGATGCACATTGAAATATTTATACGTGAATTACCAGAATGTCTAGAGTTTTCTTTAAAATATTTCAGCACAAAAAAAGGGGGAGCTGATAGTTGAAACAAGAAGGGCAAAATACTGATACTTATTGAAACTGGATAGTAGGTACTTGGGACTTATTACATATTCTTTTTATATTTGTGTAGGTTTGAAATTTTTCATAATAGCTATATGATGAAATAAACTATGTGCTCACCTCAGTTCTTTTTGCTGAAGTTCTGTCAATCAACTCCTGCTTGCCTGGAGTTTACCCTCCAGTATTATTCTCAGAAAAAGTTCTCAGGAATCCTATTCCCTGAATTTTTACATATTCAAGTTATTGACCTATTCTATACTTGAAGGACAGTTTAGCTGGTTCACACTTTCTCTACTTGACTATATTTTAAGTATTACTCTACTGTCTTTTGTCATTGAATTCTGTTAAGGAAACATCTGATGCCATCTTAATTTATTACTAACGATGTTTTTAACCTATATTCTCACAAAATTCTTTCTTCATCTTTAAAGTCCAAAAACAGTACCAAATATGCTTTCAGATAGGTCTTTTGGATCAATTTTCCCTGCTACAAGTTATACTCTTTCATTATGGAGAAATATTTTCTCTTGTTTCAAGAAAATGGAGTTGGTGAGTTTCCCATTATTCTCCTTGTTGCTCTATATGATTTTTAAGAAACCTTATGGTTTTAGATTCAGAACTAAGCCACTGCTATGTTCCTATTGGAATCATTAATTTAATAATAATTTTAAAAAGCTAAGTTATCTTGTGGTCTTGATTCTTGTTTAACCCATTCCTACCCTCTCCTTCTCCTTTGCCCATTCATGCAACCAGCATAAAGTCAATACTTGCAGCCCCTCACCTATGAGATGAATAGCAAGGAGCAGTGGATCTGCACATGTACCTTTTATATGGCAGCTGCAAGGATGAAGACTTTTCTCGTTTGTGTGGTTGCTGCCTTGATTGTTGTCCTGTATTCAACCAATCCCATCATTGCCCAAAGTTCCCAGGGGAACCTAGATTGCCCTGAGGAGCTGACACAAGGAAGGATCTGGCTCCAGTTCTAATCATTTATAGCAGTGGCTTCTGACTGAACCTAAATGAAGCCCCAAATGTGTACTGGGACATAATGAGACTTTAGGAGAGGTAGAAGGGCAAGCTGAGCTACTGAGGCTGGACTTGAGCATGGAGCGTAACACCAGAAGGAGGCCTGGGGTTACTTGTAGGCAAGGCAAGTGTCAGTGGCTTTGTACTTATACCTATTGGAGTAGGGTTTTGGTCAAGAGCATTAGGTTAGTTTAATCCCTTTTGGAGATTGGAAGATTCTTTTTTTTTTTTAACTTAAAAAAATTATATTTATTTATTTATTTTTGGCTGCATTGGGTCTTCGTTGCTGCGTGCGGGCTGTCTCTAGCTGCAGTGAGCAGGGGGCTACCCTTCATTGCGGTGCGTGGGCTTCTCATTGTGGTGGCTTCTCTTGTTGTGGGTCTAGGCACGTGGGCTTCAGTAGTTGTGGCTCACGGGCTCAGTAGTTGTGGCTCGCGGGGTCTAGAGCGCAGACTCGTAGTTGTGGCTCATGGGCTTAGTTGCTCCATGACATGGGGGATCTTCCTGGACCAGGGCTCAAACCCGTGTGCCCTGCAATGGCAGGTGGATTCTTAACCACTGCGCCACCAGGGAGCTCAGAAGATTCTTATTACAAACATAAAATGTCATATTTGAGTCTGGAAGGAAACTGCTTTTAGGTTGCTTCAAATAATATTTTCAAAGTTCAGTAGTTTGGTAAAATTGAGTTATGCAGAAAGAATACTTGCCCAGCTGTAAGAGAGATCATATTCTAAATTTTGCTATTCCACCGAAGAGGAAAGGCAGAATTAAAATTTAGTAACAAACTATTATGTGCTGGATACTTTACATAAGATTTATATTTAAAATTTCACAAGCATACTGGGAAGGGTTATTGTTTCCATTTTTTATGAATAACGCTAAATTTCAAAAAGGTTAAGTTTAAGCCGCAGGTAAGAGATAGAGCTTAAATTTGGACCTGAATTAGTCTGATTCCTAACCTCCATCACACAAATGCTGCCTCATGTTGGTTTATTCTCAAGTGTTTATTTAATCTTTTGAAGCAAGTTTTTTCACTTGTAATATTAGAGTGTTGGATTAATACATCAGAATTTCTTTCAATTATGTCATCCTAAATCTTAAGGCCAGTAGCACATGAATTCCCAGTCAGTTGGCTTCTTGATATACTCCTGGGAATTGATGCCTATCTCCAAGTTTCTTGGCCTCTGTCTGGGTCCCTGGCCTCTTTCCCTTTCAGCACAGCTTTTCCACCTTGGGTTTCTAGATATTTGAGACAGTTATGCTCTAACTATGCTTCTAGTTCTCTATATTGATGAGGTCAACTTCCCATTTTATTTCCTTAGGTAAAAATGACAATTGAGGGCTTCCCTGGTGGCGCAGTGGTTGAGAGTCCGCCTGCCGATGCAGGGGACACGGGTTCTTGCCCCGGTCCGGGAAGATCCCACATGCCACGGAGCGGCTGGGCCCGTGAGCCATGGCCGCTGAGCCTGCGCGTCCGGAGCCTGTGCTCCGCAACGGGAGAGGCCACAACAGTGAGAGGCCCACATACCGAAAAAAAAAAAAAAAAAAAGACAATTGATAAAGAAGGAATTTTCAGCAAGGGAAAGTTCATAAAAGATTTAGAATAGTCCCCAAACTTTAAGTTTTTTACCTTTTAGAGCACAACTTTCTGTCTGTGAACAGCTCTCTCTTCACAGTTTCAAATTTCCTGACACTAGAGCTGCACCAATGCCAGAGAAAAATCTTTGAACGTTTTAAATTGTAATGAAACTGAGATTAAATTGGGAAAAATGAATTAATCAATTCACCTAATCACATTCTCTAGATCATTTCAAGGAATAGGATAAAGTAAGAAAAGTTATCAACTCAGGTGAATATTGAATAATTTTGCTTTAGAAAATACCTCAGAATATATGCATCCTTTGGCAGGATACATAACCTATAAAATGATTACTAGTTGCATTGTAACAACGTTTTATTCCTACATTTTAACATAAAAGGATGTGCTTCTGCAATAATAATAATTGCTGATGATATCAACAGATCAAGATGATTCTCCCAGGAGTTTTGTTGGTATTTGTGCCATGAGAGGAAACACGAGGGCTAGTGCTTTTAAAACGCTTGCTCCCTTAAACAATTGGCTATGAGTGAGTTTCACTGACCCTATATAGGAAGTAAAGTGGTTAAAGAAATATGCAGACAAATACAGAGTTACAGACTAGTGTTTGATCAATATCCATCTTCTTTGGAGTGAAGGACCTGGGAGACAAAACTTCTCTCCCTACCTCCTCTGCGAGAGATAAGCTAGTTATCCCAACCACTGGTGGGCTTTGTTTTAATCGAGACTATCCTTGATTACATCTCTCTAATGTTTTCCACTTTTTTTCCAATGACATTTTATTTTATTTGAAACACTTAAAGGAGACAAAATGAGTGGTAACTCTGGAAGAATTTGGACTGAGGGACGGGAGGGTAGCAGTCAGCACATGCCGCCTTGCCTCTGCAGTGATCACCCTGGAGCACCAAGGAACGCAGTTTGAAAACCCCTGCTCTAGGGCACTGGATGCCCATTAAGATCACCTGGGGAGCATTAAAAAAGTTCTGATGCCTGAGTCTTATTCCCAGAGAGTGTGATTTAATTGGTCAAAATTAGGGCCTGGGCATCAGGATTTTGGGGGGAAAGTTCCAGGAGATTCTATGGGGGAGTCAGGATTCATAACCATTACCCTGGAGCCTCACTGAGAGGTCAGGGCAAGTCTGGACAAAATCTTACTTCTGACACAAACTAAGAGTCACACCAAGCAGGGCTGACCAAGGGTGTGGCTGGCCTTCCCCATGTGTTCCTGAACCTTTAGGCTCAGATAAAGGTTGCTTGAGCCTTGGGGGTTTTGTTTCCCAGAGTATTTCCTCAACTGTTTTCATCTCTCGGTAAGGAGTTTCATTGTAAAGAGTTACATTAATGAAACGTTCCCCATGCGATTGCTATTTTCAATCCACACACTTAGATTTGTTTCATAAGTCAGTCTCTCATGAGTTTCTTCCAAATAAGTTAAGCAATAGGAATAAAAACAAGAATCTCCAATGGAAACTTAGGACAGCGTAGATTTTCATGGACTGAGATATCTGGAAGATTGAAAACTTCCTTCTGGAACATCTTTGGTAATAGTGCTAAGGAGACAAGATGCCTAGAGAAAGCCAGTTTGCTTGTAAGACTGGATCATGAACAGGAGTGGAAGATGGACGTTCATGAGTAAGGGGAGATAACTTGCAGAATTTACTGAGAATTGAGCCTTAAGAGATACTTTTCTGTGACTAAAAGAAAAATAATGTTACACAAACATAGTAACAATAAAAGTTTAAGCGTAATTTTCCTGCAGATGCCTTGCTTTCATATCGGGAATCTGCCTTAAGTAATTGATGCAGTCTTCTGGGTTAGACCTAATCAGTCTGCAGAACCCACAGATCTTGTGGTTATGCACACAAGCTTGTCCACAAATGAAAACTTTCTACGTTTTTCTTCTTTCTCCCCTCCCAGAAGTACAAAGGGGAACAGAGCAAGTGCGTGGGTGTTTACATAAGGCAGTTCTTGCTTACTCAGAGGGGGAAATTAAGCCTAAATGGTTATGTTTGTTTAAACAATTTTCTTATTTTTAGTAATTCCTCCGCCATATTTCTGGACCAAATGGTAAGAATTTTCAAAATATTTTGTGTGTTCCTTTTGCTGTTAATATTCACCATTTTTAAATACTGAGAATTTTATGACTATAAAGGGTTTTTCTATCCTTTTAATTTTTTTCACTCCCGTCTTCCTTGCTCAAAAATGTTACTAAGAAGGAAAATGGCCTGACATTCAGCTAACTGTGAGGCCATCCTTCTCTGGAATGCTGTCTGGTGCCGTGCTGTGAGTTCTATGGAATTCAATCCCTGTTTACCAAGGGCTCCCACTTATTTTAATATCATACGTTGGAAAAAGTAAAGTAATTCAATAGACCTCTACCACTAAATTGTGAGTTAGCCTTTGAAAAATAGTAAGTAATAGCAAAGAAAGATGTTCTATTTAGACTTAATCTGATTAGCTTCCGTTGCTTGATGGAGGGATGAAAGGAAGCAGTAATCCTA